TACTACTACTACTACTACTACTACTACTACTACTACTACTACTACTACTACTACTACTACTACTACTACTACTACTATTACTACTACTACTACTACTACTATTATTACTACTACTACTATTACTATTATTATTACTATTACTACTATTAATAATATTATTACACTACTACTAAATAATAATAATAATAATAATAATAATAAGATATATAAAAAACAAAAATTATTATTAACTTGAAATTTATAATTTATTATTCTATTTAATATAATATTAATATAAATACTATTAAAGATAATTAAAATAACAATATCAATATCAAGAAAATATTTAAGAATACAATTAATAATTACAAATAATATATAATTAATAACAATTAATAATTATAATAATATAAATATAATTTCAAACTTAAAATTATTTTTTTATTTTGTATTATTTATATATTATTTCAAATAATATATATTTATTTTAAAATTAATAATATAAAATTTCACATATATATTCTTGCTATAATATTATTTAGTTAAATTATTCTAAAAATAATATAATAGAATAAACAATTTCTAACTAATTATTTGTATATTTTGTTGGTTTAGCTAAAAGTAATACTTGTACAAGTATGAATGATAGTCAAACAATGAAAAAAGTAGTTATTTCAAATTTTGAATCATAAAAATTCAATTAATAATCTATAAAATAATAATTAAATTCTATTTTTAATATAAAATCTACGTAATACACAATGTACACACACACACATATATGACTGATAATTTGGCATCCAATCAAACTACTCAAAATTAACTATGGTGCGCACCATCTAAAGTCATCAAACAGTTATATTCTATAAAATGTATAAACTTCTCGACTAGGAAGTATATTCAAAATTTAATCCGTAAATATAGTGGAAAAAGACTTATTCTACCATATTTACGGATTAAATTTTGAATATACTTTCTGTTGAGAATTAATACATTTTATAGAATATAAATGTTTGATGACTTTAGATGGAGCGCACCATATACTAAATATTTCTAAAAAAAACCTGTATTCAAACTAGTAATAATCTGAATATTTGGTTTTTCATTTTCTTATGAGTTTTTACTATCTTAGTACAGCATTGTCATGATATAACAGCATATATTTTGTTTTAGACTTTTTGAATTTTGCAAAAAATTCATTTATATAAAACATCGATCGTTTTATTATCTCTTTAATCAAAACTCTATTAATAGAAAAAATATATAAATCTATATTTAGATATACTTTGCAATTCTGACAATGTAACTCTGAGTCCTTCTTTTTCTCTGCTATATTTTTCCTTGGGATAATTAAGTTTTTTGAATTAAATACTTTATGAAGTCAAATCATGAAAACAAACAAATCAATTTTAGATTAGCGCGTTAGCATCAAAATAATCCTCGCATAATTTTCTTTGTTTACTAACTTCACGTGACAAGTCTAAAACAAGAATGTTTCAAGCTATTCACGTATTTATTTTCTAGTTTCATATACAAACTGAATAGAAATGATGCTAGGTGTTTCAAGCCATGGAAAAAGAATCTGAATGTAGATTGAGTTGAATTTTTTAATTATTAATATAATTTCAATTTTATGTTTATGATAGATATCTTGCAGATTATTAGGTTATTCGAAAAATTGAAATAAACTCCATATGTTTAGTTAAGTTAGAAATAATTTTGTAGGTCTAGTTGCATATATGTGTTGGGAACAGTAAAAAAATGCACGTCAAATATGACTTCACTTCAACACAGTAAAAATAAAATCTTTACTTGGATTCGACTTCAAATTGAAGTCCAAATAGTTATCGTTATATGTATCAGATTCAAAATTTTTCCCGTAAAAATCGTTATTCTTATTTTCTTTGTCATTTTTGGCTTTCTAGCAACTTCAAACTGATTGAGAAGAAAAGTCTGGAATCGGTTAAAACTGTTACCTCAGCTGATTAATTTCTATTTTACTCGTAATTAAAGATTTACTTAGTTAATTGTCAGAAACTATGTTTTTATCGTTATTTTGAAAAATTTGTAATTAAACAAGTATTAAGAAAGTTTATTTGTATTCTAAATCTTAAAAAAATGCAAAGACAAATTCAAGGTTAAAATTCAGTTGTTATTTATAAATTTATACTATCGGATTTTTTTAACAGAAGGAGCCTTTTAAAGATTTTATTTCTTCAATAATTAACAAGCAAACGAATGAGTTTTTCAGTAAGAGAATTATAGAATCCCATTATTGCTCTTTTTCTCTTTTGAGAAATACAGTTGGCTAACTAGTGATTCTTTTTCTAGTTTTTTAATTGTAAATGTACATTGAATAAACATTTGACATTTGATCCATGTAATTACAATCTAAGTCATGCAAAATAAAAAAACTCTCACGCTGTTTGAAAAGAATTTTGTCAAGAGAGTCAAACTTAGAATACGATAAAAAGATGTAGCCGTTGAACCATCTGTGTTTTCTAAATTAATAATTCATGATCCATTTTTAGATCACCCGATTTTCATGAAAAAAAAGTTAACGAGTCAAGAACTTCATGGGTGCCAAAGCACAACATACATTGCGACCGCGTACATGCACCAATAATAAAAGTGATCATAAAAATCTAATTTTATTTCTACTTGATTGTATCAATTTTTTACATAAACAAGATTAAAAGTTAGTAATAGAATATCTAAAGAAAGCTCTTATTGATAAAACGTGACAAAGCGATTACACAAATTACGTAAGTAAAAAAAAAGAAATGAATGGCATGTTAAACGCATACGTAATTTATGAACCGTACGTACGTACACGTTTTTTCTGCATCATTGTCTAGAGTCATAATGCAGCATACACATACGTATTAATGCAGCATATTCTACTGTTACAAATCAAATTTTTACTTGTTCAAGTGACACGTACAGAAAAACTAACGATAATACATGTATTAATACATGTACGTAGTATGCATAATCGCATATTTATCAGAACTTTACAATTATATTTTGATCAATACAATTATTATTGACATTTAAGAAATACTATGAGAGAAGAGATAACAACAAAACGAGTGCGCATTACGCAGTTGGAAACTGTGTGTTGTTTTTCCAACCTAAGTTTGTCATAGTCTAAATCAAAATCTTCCTGCATTTGCGTAAATAATATGCATATCTATATTTAGATATATCAATATCCTAATAGATAAGTAACTAAAGTCAGAACATTCAACACAGAGTTCCATCTGATTTCTCTTCTTCATTTTCCTTTCTTCTTTATACCATTATTCTCAATAAAAAAATGGGTAATTGCCTGGATAAACCTCAAGAAGGCGAAACAGATTCTAGCCCATGTTCAATTGCCACTTCTTCAACAGGAACATATAATGAGCAACACTCTATGACGTATTTAATAAATGCTGATAATGATCGTTTTTCTAAGTTACACACTCTTTTTAAGTGCACTTGGCAAGCAAATTTTCTTGCACCCGTTCATAAACAACTCGGATTGGGAAATGCGCGAGTTTTAGAGCTCGGGTAATAAAATTTGGCTTAAACTGTAAAAAAAAGAAATAAATAAACCTTTGCATTTTGTGTTCTATCCGTAATAAATAGATGCCAAACAGGGGAATGGGTATTAGAAGTGTCTGAAAAGTACCCGCTCGCCAAAGTATGGGGAATCGATACATCAAATTACTTTCCTTCGTCAATACCATTAAACTCTACTTTTTTGCATCATAATATTATTCTCAATGGATTGCCTTTTGCCGATAACACATTCGATTTCGTTCACGCTCGATGCTTAGCTTTTACATTTACCGATATCGAATGGGAACAAAAAATAATAAAGGAATTGTTGCGAGTGCTAAAACCAGGAACCGGTTGGCTAAGTCTCCTAGAAATCAACTTATTTTATAAAATTGAAGGTCAGAACACTGCTAAGCTTACAGAATATAGTAAATATAACAGTTTCAATTAAGAGATTTATTCATATTTTATTTGTCTTTTAAAGAATTTATTGAATTTTCTTTGAATAGTGAAACTATTTCTTAACGAAAAGAAAATGAATCCTGATATTGCGAGTTTACAAGAACATTTATTACGTGCATCCAACCAATTCACTGATATTCAGGTCCATGAAAGATTTCCCACTTTGGATCATATGAATGATATTGCTGCAGAGGAATTTGCACGGAGAATGTATGCTTTAAGTAAGGAGTTATCTGAATTTATAGGGATAGATAATGAAGAATATAAGTCTTTGGTAAAATCAAGTGTCAAAGAATTTAATATTTATAAGACTAGCATTAGACAGACTAGAGTAATTGCACGTAAAATTTCTTTGAATTAACTTTTGATACATATTTAAAACGAATTTCAATGAGAAATTGAATTTTAATTTTCATGTGATTTCACATTAATTTATAACAGGGGAGAAACAAATCTTTAAGTGTATTAGTATGGCTTGTTTTTGAGAATTTGAATTGTCCTTGTATATATTAAGCAATGAAACTGTAATTTTTTGCGTTAAGTTTTTGAGCGATTTTTCTATAGAACTTACTACATGTATTAATTTTAAAAATGTCCAACCACAAAAGTTATATTTCACGCATAGGAACCTGCAATAATGTCACGCTATAAAAATTTAGTAAAGGATGATTTCAATCTTAATTCTCAAGTTGTTTATTACTCGGGTAAAGTACTGATTTGTCTTCAATTGACATGTCCTTACATGTAATAAACAAAAAAAAGTGTAACGGTAATACTTTAATGCAAATAGCGTATCGGTATTGCGCGGAATTAAATCTATGATAGCCAAAAATCATGTAATACACTAATAAATCTGTGACATCAAAACATTGTTTCAAAAATGCAATTGAATAAGATCGAGATGGTACATGTATTACTGTAAAAAATTTTACGGTACATCTGGGCGCCACTATATATAAGCCATCAAGTGCTCCGCCATGCGGAACTGTATATCATATATTGTAAGAACTCCCAACTTTCAACCAATAAAATGCAAGTATAATTACATACACGTAATTAAGCATAATATTTATTGAATACATTATCTTATTATCGCTGGTTTATTATTTTTTATATGACGCAGAACGTCTACGTATTCTTAACTTTTAAAGATTAGAACTCATTAATAAATACTTATTTTGAATAAATCTCTATTTGTTTGCGAATTAGATCAGACAAATAGACAATAGCTTTATTCAAAATAAGTATTTATTAATGAGTTCTATTCTTTAAAGGTCAAGAATACGTAGGCGTTCTGCACCATAGCATATTCTGCAGATTTTCTTCCATCTAACACCACGATAATCGTGCATAAGCACAAATACATAGTTTCGATTGTAATAGAATTAAATACCAAGACCTTGGCATTTGTACGACGAAAAAGTTACGGGTGGGGAATTCTAGTTTAACTTCCAATTAATCATTTGCCGCAGAATTTTCCCTTGTGCCACCATTCTGGCCGGAGTTATAGCAATTTTTAGTAAGAAACTAAAAGTTGATGGCTTCTTACGTATTTACGTTTTAACTATTCCATTCAAGAATGCATGCTAAGAAAAATATAAATTGTTAGATTTTTTTATAAAAATTTTGCTTGAAGCTATTTATGTCAGAAAACTCATAAGTAATCATAATGCGTATGCTGATGATGCATTATTGAGTTCGCGAATGAATTTGAAAGATGAAGACAAACAACCACTTCATGATGGCAAGTTGCCTGATGGTTCTCCTCATACCATGACATTTATGATATCGATGGCACAACAACCTAAAGGTATTCGACGAATTCTTGAAGAACGTGGCTTATGGACGCAAAAAATCAATTGCAAGAGGTGATTGAGGCAGCTGGTCATCTGTGTATTCTTTTATCTAAGTTTCATTGCGAGATCAATTTTATTGAGCCATTTTGGGGGAAGCAAATGATACATTGTGATTATACTTTTAAGAGTCTTAAAGAAATTGTTCTACACGCATTAGAATCCGTCACTCTGACCAAAATTCGCCATGTTGTGAAACAACGCTCGAAAAAGAAATAAAGATAGAAAATTACATGTATTAGCGTTAGATAGAATATTCACGCTTATTAATTATTTACTTGAACAAATCAGCCAAACAGAATATAAATCTCTCACAAGAAAAATCAAAAGAACGTTGCACATCGAGTTACTCGGTAAATGAGCGCTTATTAACAAGATCTTTCAGGCAATGCTGCTGTTTTCGCAGTAAAGAAATGTTTGTCACAATTTTCTGTGATCCCTTTTATATGGCTAAACTACAATTATTATTATTATTATGCAAGATTTCTAATGATATTGATGTCACTATACAAAAATTAAATTATTATGGTGCATAACGATAACATCTAAAGTCATCAAACGTTTGTGTTTTACAAAATGTATAAACATCTTTACTAAGAAGTAAATATAAAATTTAATCCGTGAATATGCTCAGAAAGGGCCTATTCTATCATATTCACGGATTAAATTTTATATTTACTGCTTAGTAAAGATGTTTATACATTTTGTAAAACACAAACGTTTGATGACTTTAGATGTTATGCACCATATTGATATCGTTATTGTTACCTTTTATAAATAGAATGAGACAATATAGCGAAATTTCTTATCGTACAATTTAATTAAATATCAGTTCAAATTTTATAGTGATATTTAATTTATTTTTTTTTCGATGTTTGCACTATTCTATATTTTTAATCGAATCACAATCAAGAAATTTTTGGTGTGCTAATGAGCACAGAAGTGCTAAACAGAAAATATATGATATATTTTAAACTGCAGGAATTTGTGATTCTGTATTATTATTGTAAAAGCAGACCAACTAAATCAAGCTTCGGAAACATAAGAAAAAATCCAAAAAAAATCGTTGAATGAATATCTTCGTTAAACTGAGCGAAATTTCCATAGAAAAAGAATAATTTCTCTTTATCGTTAAAGTGAGAGGCTAATTAATCATCGTAGTCGCTAAATCGAGCTTAAAATGCAGTGAAAATATTTTTACATGATGTCGATGTGGCACGTTAAATTTCAACCAATCAGAGCTCAGTCACACGATTAATCCGTGCTGAAAATTTGAGCATTTATTATTAAAAGTACTTTTCGAAAAATTCTAATAGCTCTCCAAATTAAAATACTATTATTAAAAAAAATACATTAAAATATAGCCCTTATCAACAGCTATTTAATAATGTATTTATATATTTGGATATAGATCTTTTTATACTTCAAAGTATTGGATGTCTTTATACTTTCTGCACCATATACGATCGTTGTTGTCAGTATAATACTCCCATAAAATATGCTGACATTATAAAATAAAACAAAAATAAATAATCGAAAATTATAATCAACTAATAATCCTTAATGTGCACAGTAAATGACGATAATTTTGCAAACGCGCGTAATAAACTACATACAATATTACTAATTGTTAGGATCAAGTAAGCAGCAAAATGACATTACGTTTGTTATATGAATGTTGTATATCTAAATACATATAAACGAAGTAGAATACCCTTGTGTCGTTGCAAATTTAATATAAAGTATAAATAAAGTAGTTACCATAAGTAAGAAAGATTGGTAATGTTACCATTTTCAATACAAATTCATCATAATTCCTTAATTTTTACATTATCATAGATTATGGTGTATTATAATCACTTTTATTTTCACTTTGTATACCATTACACAACTATATTTAGTATAAATTTCATAAATTTTGATCAAAAAATTAAAATAGTCATCAACAAATATTCTTATATTCTTATATACTTTCTACTTTATTTTACTTTTATTTTCACTTTTATTTTATTACCATTTTTATTTCTATTTCGATATTATTCTCTCTTATGATTTATTTTGTGTTATTAAATTCTTTTAATTTTTCTTTTTATTGTGATCTTATGAATTTTCTTATTTCTCACCACTAATATTCTTGAAAATTATTTTTGTATTTTCATTTATTTTTTGATCTTATTCTTTAATAATATTATTTAGTATTATCTGTAAATAGTTGTATGATTCAGAATAATTATTTGTCATGTAAATTGCAGAAACTATCAAAAATATATAAAAGAAAAGTCTCTTATCACTAGAGATGCATATTCTCTGAACTAATAAAAATAACACAGTTCTTACTTGTAATATTATACTTGTGAACACACTATTATTTTCGTGATCATCTTCAATCTTGACTACAAATAGTAGATTCTAAATAAGCTGTTGATTATTATTTTTAGTTATTTTGATTTTATTATTTTTAGGCCATGTTAATAAGTCCTATTTATTTTTTTTAGTATATTGATATAGTTATTTTCTTTTCTTTATTCACAGTCTCAATAAGTTCCATTGTTATTTTATTTCATTAGGCAATCTTAATAAGTCCTGTTATTTTCTTTAATAATTATACTAGTTTTATTTTAGTTTGTTATATTCTTTTTATTTTTGCTCTTATTTCTATCTTTTATATGGTGCATGACATCTAAAGTCATCAAACGTTTGTGTTTTATAAAATGTATAAACATCTTTACTAAGAAGTAAATATAAAATTTAATCCGTGAATATGATAGAATAGGCCCTTTCTGAGCATATTCACGGATTAAATTTTATATTTACTTCTTAGTAAAGATGTTTATACATTTTGTAAAACACAAACGTTTGAAGATTTATGCACCAGTGTTTACAATCGCCATTACGCAATGATGATGTTATACATGTACATGTATTTGTTAATATTATTGCCTATTACTATTAAAGGGATGCGTTAAAAATAGTACATCATGTGATCCACGTTCGATAGCGCTAGGGGTGCGCAAATTTTTGATCTGAAACATGAATATTACAAGAAAACCAATGCCTAAATCTGTCTTGGAATAGTAATTAAAATGTCGGTATGCAATTTTACATATATGCTTGCTCTCTCACCCTAACCATTACTCTTACCCTGATCTTATAAATAATTAAAGTCATTAATCGGGTGCGCTGAAAATTTAGGGGGATTGATCACATGATAGACTACACTTTTAACCTCGGCTATTAAGTGTGTTCACCTGATTGTTCATCATCATACACAGAATCAATTTGATGTCTTAAAGAAGAGCTTTTATTATTTATGCACAACACAAATAGAAACTCTTTCAACGAACAATATATAAATTCACACAATAACTTTCTACTCTATGTAGCGGTAGGTCTTGTAATTATGGCTGGTTTAAATTTCGACAAAGGGATGTAGACGATTTACAAAGGGCGCTCAAGAAGGGAGTAAACAAGTTAAAAGATGTGGACGCGGGAGAAATTACGTTCAGAAGACATGGCGAGGATATGGACCTGGCGCCTAATGCTGTAGTTGAAAATACGGCCAAAACACCACTACACGTGATCATCCGTGGTAAGAAATGAATATACGACGCGACGTTGAGGATAGTGCGTCACCCCATCCCGTTATCCATTTAAGGGAATGTATGGTATACTATTTGCGATGTTAACAAACTGTGTTTTCTATCCATCTATCGACAATATGTCTTGAAGGTATGCAGAGAATATTACATTCAAGGGAACGTTTGGTATACTGTTTACAACATTGACTAACTTGTACTTTTTTTCTTTCGGTCTTTCCCTCCTCAGCTCCCATTTCTTGTACTTGCACAACTTGTTATGTTTAATTATAATCTTATGTCATCACAGGTGAAAGGCTCCCAATACGTCTTGTTCTAATGTTTCCGTTTGCGAGCATGACTTCATACGTCTGCGACGTTTTGGAAAACTACCAATCTTAATATTATGTAATAATTACTTCGCTAAATCTACAAGTAAGCATGAGGAGTTAGAATGGAAAATCTTTAGTAGTCTCAAAATTCGACAGGAAACAAGTGATTTGCACGAAAACATCTTGCTCAATATCTGATCACCTTCTTTTCTCTTTAAGATATATGGTTATTGTCACTCATTAGGATCTTGATGGAGCGGCATTGATAATAAATTTGTATATCAAATATTCATTCATCAAAGAATTCCTTCACGAGGAAAATAAGACCAGATTTGAACGTGTCTTTAACAGAGACACGACTCATGTTGAGTGGAGTCAGAGCCTGAAGAGACTATTTGACCATTTTAAACTTTAATATGGAAAGGAATGCATCGTCCTAGTCAAAAATATAATGCTCTCATAAATATTCTTTTCTCATTATTGCTAAAAACAATTATTTTTATGATTCATTGAATGCGATCTTAATAATTTGCAATCAATACAGAAAAATACAAGTAACTGATGCTATGTCATAATTTTGCAGGATTTGTTCAATTTACTTTAATTATGACCTTGTTATGAGTAGGAAACTCTGAGCTCCTTCAAAATCACTTTGTCTGAAGTTCAAAGAAAATGTGACTAAGATGCTTAGAAAATTGCAATAAATGTCAAGGTCCAAGCAAACCTGAGTTACGAAAATTTATACTCCAGGGAAGATTCAGCCTTATGAATTATACTATATTATGCAGTCTATCTTACCATAGATCAAGAGATTCTTTCAGTGATTCAACACTGTCACTCACCTTTTGAGTGAAAAGAATTGACAAGTCTTGAACCAATCTGAACGGAATCGCTGGTGAATTACCTGTTACAAGATGAACTTGACAATTTTGTCAAAGAATTCCCTGAGTACATTCTGGATCACTTTTCATACTATGAGGTAGACAGCAGCTCAAAATCTGGAGACTCGAAGTTGATCCCCACAAGATCAAACTCCAAATCATTATAGAAGACTTTATCTTTGCAAGGTAAATCTGAAAAAAGTATATCATCATGCCTTCACCTACTCCATGTGTCTTATTGCTAAGCAGTTTGGGTTCAAGATAATATCAAATCAAGAAGCAGAACTTGGGAGATTCAATATACGTATGGAACCAACTATAGACTATCTGATGATGGCAGTGATCATGGGATTCAAAATCCTGCTGCCAAAAGGGCACTGGATCAAATCCCGTAAAAAATTATCGTGTGGGCTTACCATCGAGGTCCGAATTTCGTTTTGTGTGAAACTTGCACGTGGAAAAATGATTACAGGATAAAGAAAATAACTGGCAAATTGTTTCTAAGTCATCTACGATTACGCAAGCTAATTATTAGTTAGGCATCTATTTTATTTCGTGTCAATCGCACAATATTTGCATTTAATAAGATAGAAAATATACCATAATTTGTTACAGTAGACACCACAAGCAACTGAAATTTTTATTAACGAATGCTTAAGATACGTTGGTATAAATCTTATTAAATTATAAATGAAATAATATCAGAATTTATAAACACGCTCTGTAATAGAATGAACAACTTTACTTAATATTAAGTATTTTTTTATTACGGATTTTATAGAATAAAAAGTACTCTTATATTATAAAATAATCTTAATCAAACTTGTGTAAATTATTTGCTATGTTATCCACTATATCAGGCAAGATTCAATATCGATATAAATGATAACGTCATGATCTCGGTCAGAATGATAGATTTTTTAGCCAATCAAGTAAAATCTTTCCAAATGAAACCCACAATTTTTAACAAGTGAAATCCAAGTATTCCTATTTTTGATATAAATATCAAATTCACAATATGATAAACATAGACGGAACGCATCCTACTGCTGGTTCATGGGCTCTGCGCAACCCACCTTCACGCTACGCAAGAGCCTGGAGGAGATGGCGTTGAGGGATCTTCGTGAGACTTTTGTGTTTTTTTGCAATAAGGATCAACAGTAACATTATCGTATACATGATACCAACATGTTTTCTTTGAAAGGTAACAAAAATTCTTTTGAAGATCGTAACAAAAATTTGAAAATCATAACAAAAATATTTTCTTTGAAGATCATAATAAAACGGCTAGATAATTGTAATTTATAAATTAAGATTGATACCTATTTAGTTAAGAACAATAATTTTATTTGAAGTATAGTTTCATTCTGACATTTGTTTCACCTCTGATACATGTATGCACCAATGGTCTTGGCAAATTTGGTTACAAGAATTAGGTGACATTTAATTCATGACTTTTCATTAGTTATGCTAACAAATGCAGTGATTTTAGTGAGGCTACTACACCTAAGAGATACTACAACTATGAATTGACGTATATAGCTCACATCATCTCATGGACGACATAAATATACCAAGTCTATCAAAGTCTGTCTTTTCGATGTCAAGCTCAACTTTATCAGTTGACGCGAGCTTATTTGATAGTTTGAGGGAGAAGTTAGTGGTACAGCCAACTCTCCCTAAATGCAATTCGCCGGGACCATATTACTAATCAGACATGTGGCATGCACTTCGAGAGAGATTGCATCTATAGAGAGTAGTATATTATAAGCTCAGAACTAAGTAAGAGCGTGCATTTAGAGTGAGCATATAGTGCGTACATTTATGGAGGTTGCATTTAGGGAAAGTTGATTTTCAAGCGAAAGCATTCCCTGCTGGTTGGGGGCTCTGACTTTCACGCTAAGCAAGAGCCTGAAGGCGATGGCGTTGGGATCTTTTGTGATTTTTTTTGCAGTAGGAATCGACAGTTATCGTTACCATAAACTGCAGCTTCCGATCCCTTCACCATGACAATACCTGAGATACCCGAGAAGATACTTTATTTGATTCGACTGATCAAATGTACTTGAATAAAGACAAAAATTCTTTTTATAATTCGGGAAGCTAGTTTTCTCAATTGACATACAGTATAGCTAATTTTTCAAAAATATGAAAAGCAATTAACGAATGTTCGCTCATAGTCATAATGCATAATAACTTCTCGGGTATTTCTAAGCCGCAAGATTGAAGCATACTGCTATTTATTGGCATCAACGAGCAATCAATTAACAGTTTCTATACACTTTAGAAGATCATGAACTTGCGTGAAGCTAAATAAATTGAGCGCTCATTATCTAATTTACATGAATTCTCTCGTAAATATATTGTACGATTGTTATCATCTAATTTAAAACTCGCAGTGATACTCAGGATATAATATTCTAACTGTTATATAAGAGCAAAAAATTAATAAAAGTAAAAGAATATTTTATCAATAAACAAATAAAAATGATTGCATGCGACTTTCAAAAAAGTACTCAAAAGACTTATCGTAATATTTTAATTTTAAGTTATATACAAACCGAAGTTATCGTAAGCAGAAGATTACCCGAATATAAATGCACTACCTGGCCTGGATGTATGTATACCACGAAGGTGAATACAATATTTATGATTTTTTAGATGAACTGCCCCCGGGTAAAGGTGCATTACTATGAAAGTGGATTAATGATACCTGACGAAACTATTTCATAATTTCGTCACATCATTCGTCGGACGAAACTCATGACGATTGACGAACCTTCTGACCAATAAAAATAATAGCTTAATCACATGAACAAATCCTATCACTATCGCGAATTTTAAAAGAATGTTACGTCATTAGAAAATCTTGAAGCCATGGATGATCAAAATTATGCTGAATTTTGGCCAGCATTATGAAGACTTGAGAAAAGTGAACGTATATATAATTTTAAATCACTTCTGGTTCGTTCATTTCCAAAAACGGTCATCATCGTCAGGAATCGTGAGTTACGAGTGAGTATTTTATTGGTCGAAGGTTTCGTCATAGATTTCGTATATGTGGTGCATACTATCTAAAGTCATCAAACCTTTTATTTTATAAAATGGATAAACTTCTTTACTAAGAAGTAAATATGCTCAGAAACGGTATATTCTATCATATTTACGGATTAAATTTTGTATTTATTTCTTAGTTGTGGCGGCTGATGCTGAAATTAACGCATCCTATTGGCTGATCAATTTTATTCTCTAATTTCATTGGTAAATTTCAGCATCAGCCGCGACATTACATTTTATTACTAAGAATCGAAATCCTAGTTCAGAAATTTATTATTTATATTTATTAACATTAGGAAAATTTGTACAAATTCTCAGTTTCTTTTAATAAACTTAATTTGTTCTACCAAATGGCTATTTAATCGATTTCGTTCATGTGTAATTAAGTTTCCCCACATCTGAAAATAGACGTTCAGATGGAACTGGTGTGGACGACGACGACGACGACGACATAACTGGTGTTTGGTTGTTTTTCATTGCATGTTGATTTTTTTCCTTTTCGTTGGAATAGTTGAAGTTGTACCTTGATTAGTTGATTTCGCAGAGATACTACGTGGTGGTAAAGGTACTATAGAGACAAATGAAGTATTCTGATTCTGCATCCATTTCATTACATGTATTTTCTGTTGTTTCATTAATATCCTTCAAATTTGGATCTATATAAGTTACTTTTAGCATTAATATCACTATCAGAGTTATTAAACTCTATATTAGCAATGGTTTCTTGGTTATTATCAATATTAACATTGCTGTTGAATGACAAAGTACATGTAGCGGTAGTTTGTCGAACGCTATATCATTTGCATGTTTTTCCAATTGCATGTACATGTATCACGTACATGATTTATGCATTATCGTTATCGTTACGTACGTACATGTATTAATGATTTTGTCTTTAAAATCGATTCCATCCCTATCCGATGCTTATAAATATGGGTGCAGTTCAATTTTTCGTTAAATTTGTAAAATAATTTTATTTTTTGGTATTTAATATTTATTTTTTATAATAAATCAATTTGATTTTAAAAATAATATTACCAATAGAGAACTTTAAAAAATTTGAGAACACTGGTTCAAGCTATTGGGTTTTCTTGAAAACACACTTTTGCTCTGAAATTTCAAACACCGGATAGGAATCGATTCTGAGAATTGATTACGTAATTTTATAAAGTCGATTAATATTTGAGAATCGATTAAAATTGATTAAAATTTTAAAAATCGATTAAACTTTGAGAATCGATTTAAAGAATAACGATAACATTTTTAATGTCACACGTCAACCGCATACGTATGTACATGTATTATCAATATCGATATGCACTGAATGTCGTTATTTCACAATTCTAGTATGTGCAATTGCAATACGAAATGTTTTAGTAAATTATTCTATTAAATAGAAAGGTAAAGATTCCTTTATACATGTACAAACTTTACAATCTAGAATTTGATCTATAGATGTTGTTAGAAGGCACTGAAAAAATAAGTGTGGACAATCAATCGGTCTGCCATGCAATATTAATTTTTTCATCGCAGTTCTCAAAGATCTTTTTCTCTACCATTTTCTATTACCCATCACGACATAATAAAAACGAAAAAACAGCGCGCTTCTATATTCCGAAAAATCATCTTACGTAGTATGAAAAATACGGAGGTCAAATTTGGCTTCTTACATTCCATATAGAATATTATAAATGTGTTATGATAATCACGTACCGTAAAGCGCTCAGTATAGTATCCCTTTGTAGAAAATTTGAACCACAATTTAGTCCAATTTTTTTTAGTAAATCCAATTATTTTTCCGCAAATAATTAAATCTAGATTTCACTATGCGATTTTTTAAAAAAATTAGTTGCTGGTTTAATAGCCTTGACACAAAAGACCAATTGTAAAAATTGTAAACAATTATCTTTACAATGAGTTAACTAAAGCAATAATAAAACTAACATCTAATTTTTGTACTAAAGAACAAAAAGAGCTCCGAGATAATTTTATATCTTATTTGCCAGAATTTAAATCATCCAGAAGGTCGGTCCCTATTAGATGCATTTTAGATGCTTGAAATATGATAGGGTATTTCGGAAAATGAGCAATCTTTACTAGCGTAAAAAAGGAACCATCAGCCTCATTATCATGAGCAGACTCTCCAACATAAGTGTACTCAGAATCTGTGCTGATTTTGACACAACTAAGTTGTCCATATCCGTATGCAGCTACGGCGCCTTGAATTCACTTAGTTGCAGTAAGATAAGAAGTCGGACCATGATGGGATACACATCATCAGTGCAGGAAGGAAAGTAATTAAATAATTTGTTATCTGTGATAATCAATATAAAATGTGGTTTTTAAAATTCGAATTTTCAGAGAAAGACCCTTGTTAATAATTTTCGAGTCAGACCACAAATAAATATTCATAATTCTAATTAACAACTCACGCGATTTTTACGTTTTATAGTGAGAAAAATCGAATTCAGAATCCACGCACAAAGTTAATTAGTAAAAAGAAATTATTATGAAAATTTGCAGGGTGGGTATCGTACTTTATTTTAGGCAGTAAAATAGTTAATGTCAACATTGCACACCCCGGTGTTACAATCGTGACGTTCAAAATTCAAGAAAGATTCAGATGACTTGACGCCGGATACGGTAATATTCTATTCATTTGACATTGATATCAAATTAATTCTAATTTCGATCAAAGATCAATATCAGCGAATCAATCTTAAAAATTCACATTTCAACAAATCTGACTTTCCGTACATATTTATTAAAAATAATCAAATAATCTTTTTGCGAAAGTTTGATCTAAATAAACACTTGATCCCATCAAATCTGTAACGCGAATTGGGTCGTTCCGGGAACTCTATGTATAATAAATAGAACAGGACTTAGCAGAAAATAATAATCGTCTTCTTTCTCATATGCAAAAGAAACTAAGAATATCTTTTAATTCCGAATTAAGTAAAAGTATCACTTCAATTTTAACAGTAAAAACAATATTTCTGTTTCGTATATTTTATTTAGTCACTTTTTTCATAAAGTGCTTGCAATATATCAGATAAAATGGTCCATGTCAAAGAAGCACATGATAAAGAAAATAGCAAACCACGAAGTTCAACTTTTGGTAACTTTTCTTCCATCTTAATCCAAAATGATATTGGCAAACATGCAATCAATAATAACACTATGATTGAAGAATTTGAATCTCAGTCAAATTTCATCATTCCTGAGGAAAAAAGGAAACTAGTGGAAATTGATCAGATACAAACTAATGATCACTTGTCAAGTGTATCATTACCAACGACACCAACCACATCTGAATCAAATTCATTCACAAAATCCTCATCATCATTCTCTTCGTGTGATAGCAGAAGAGAATTTTTAGCGGCTCCTCCTAAACTGTATTTTACTGGAACAACTACCTCCACTGCCATTACTACTCCGTTATCTTCAACAGAATCCTTGGCCATATCAAGCCTTGATCGATTGGCAGCTCTGAAAGCAATAAAACCAAACCATCCGTATCTAAATGAAAATACAAAGAGCACAATTTCTTCTCCATTTTCTGCTTTGATAGCAGAACGACGTATGCAACCTCGTCCTATACACTCGAATATGATTGACAGCAACATTGAAATTCAAGGGACAGAAAAGTGCCGCACTTTTCCGAATGCGCCATTTCAACATCATCAACGCATCATAGTCGGTAAATGGTTGTTCTTTTTGGGCTTTTTGCTATTTCCATTTTGGTGGATTGGTGCATTTTATTTGCCGTTTCCGAGAAGAAGAGCAACTCCGTTGGATTTTATTTGGAGAAAACGATGTGAGAAAATTGGAATTATATTCGTGGGTTTGGTTTTGTTGGCCGCTTTGGCTTTTATTATTTTAAATCCAAAGATTTTTGATTAGAAAAATAAAGATTGAATGTAATAAATGCATGCATTAACGTTAACGTTAGCTAACTAATTTAATAGTAGATAATAACTGACTCTGTTAACCACTTCCCTCCTAAAATTGTTATAAAAGAAATTTCAAAGCTTCTAATGTTATTTGTTTCAAGAGGGTTATAAAACGGAGATGCAGATGTGAAAAGTCGTAATATAATATCATACAAATTTGAGAATTTACAAAACACCAACACCGTTTGTTCATCTGTATCTCCTTCATTTCTACCTCTCTTGAAGATTATTTAGTGTTAGAACAAGGAGATCGAAACTATCCTACAAGGTGCCAGCATCGATAAATAAAAATTCTTGAAGCGATACTCGCTGATGAAGACAAACGAGATAATACAATGATAAAATCACGAGTTTGCCAATAACGAAAATCTTTAACGTATTCCCTCCGCTTCTAGTTAACCTTATATAATACAGGCAGCACACGTAACTGTACCTTTTTAAAAATCGAAAAAGCAAAGAAATAGTCAGACCGGCAGTTCATAATTTAGATCATGGAGAATCATCGTTATCGGAATCATATTGACAGACAATACGCATTCAGATATGAAACAGAACCAAGGTCATATTTTTATACAGAATACAAGAGTTGTGTATGTTTGTAATTCAAACATAAGAAAAAGCTCAAGTGAATACTGTAATTAAAACTATTCAATTATCTCAGTGAATAGTCAACACTGTTATCGTTATATAGTAATTTTCTAAATTTCTTCGAAACAAGTTCATTATTATACATTATATTACACTATAAGCTTATAGATATGATTATGATACATAAAAAAAGTTAAATATTCGTAAATACTACCTACATATCTAAATTAAAAATATAATGTCATTTAAGAAGAATCCCGTCTCATCTCATAATTCACTGAGCCAACCACAATTCCAATTTATTGTTTGTCACGTAAAGGTAACAGCGGTGTTAAAGTCGTATTGACTAGTGATTGAATCACCTTGCCCACTTCGTCCTTGCAAATTTCTTGCAGACCACAATTTTTTGAATAGATAATTTCACTTCATCATAAGTGACTTCATTGAAAAATTGGAAAACGCGGAATTGTGAAACTTCACTAAAAAGGTTCCATTGGTTTCACCTTTCATCGAGAGTGTCTTTGTTATTTTTTATGTCGTCACAATTTGGAAAATACATATAACAGTACTCTAAAATTATCTAAAAATAAATAAATCATTTACTTTCTCGAAAAGACTTTGATCAAAATAGAACCACATCCCGCAAAAGCCGTTATCAGAAAATCTGATCAAAAACTTGGCGAGTACATGTACTTCCTTATATGAGTCCAACGGTACTAAATGCACTAAAGCTGCAGATATTTATAAATTTGGGATGATTGTGTACGAGATTGTAACAGGTAAACGACCATTTGGTGGGACCTAAGATACCAAATAATTTGTTGGATCCTATTCCAGAAAACAGACCAACTACTGAGGAGCTTTGCAACTTTATCGGGTTTATACAATACCGGATACTTTGCATTTTCAGTACTACGGTTCTTTAGAATATCCTAAGACACGTAAAGAAATTATGAGTATTTACATAGAAGGGAAGAAATTGACAAGGGGAAAAAGTGTTCCCCAAATATGAACAAAAACAAGAAATCCACTTAAATGCAGTTTACACCAGTCGAATATTTACCACAAAATTAATTTCAATTCCAATTGAGACAGGTACTTTATTTCTAAATGTAAGTCATATTGACATTTCATATTAATTAAAATTCTTATCGAATGCTTATGTTCTACAAATGTCAGTTTGTATGTTACGAAGGTAAAAGTATATTTAACCTTGGCTTTATTAATTCATTACTAATTTTTTTAAATTGCAAAGCAGAAAGTAACGAATTACAATAGCATACTCTTTATTAAATGAAACTTGTAAGTATTAGATTATACTTTATTGAATAAAAATTATATTTTTAGTCTAAAACATGTTCTATTAAGTAATTGTAACTGTATTTCGAGTTTAAGTATTTACAATTACATTTTAGAATTTAACTCTACAGTGGCAATCAAAAATAATGCAACAGCGTCAAAATTTATTAATAAAACCTAGTAAAATGCGGGTTTTTCTTTTATATGAAAGTTTCAATTTTACTAATAAATATTTTTATCTTTACATTAAAATGAAGACAATATCACATATTTTAACACATATTTAATCTGATCAAGTTGTTCTAATTGCATATAAAGTCAATAATTTTTATATGTTTTTATTATAAAAAAATTATTAATTTTAAACAAATTTGACAGATTAAATCTAAAAAAAAATTGAAAAAAATATATGTTAAAATATGTAATATTATTTTCATTTTGATATAAAATTAAAAAATATTTATTACTAAAATTAAAAACTTATATATAAAAAGAAAAATCTGTATTTTTAATATTTTTACAATAAATTTTTTTGTATAGCATTATTTTTGATTGTCATTATATAAATCATTAAGAAAATTCTAAAAATTAATATAATAAAAATCAAATATTCTAAATTATTTTTATATTTAATCTGATAAAAACTAAATTAACTAAATATTTTGAATTATTTTTTATATTTACAGTTCCCAGTGAAGATAATAGCAGACATGTTTTTTGCTAATATTTTCATTAAGAAATTTTTAAATATCATGAAAATTTGTATGTCAAATATAATGAATTAAAATTTTTAACAATTAAGATGAAATAAAGAATTATTTTAAAAAAATTTTTCAGTTCATTTTTATTTAATAAATATCATTCAAAAAAGATAAATTTTTTAATAAAACAAGTAAAAATCTCATTTTTACTATATTTTAATATTTTATTAAAAAATTCATCAAAATAAACTCTTTTTAAATGATGTTTATTAAATAAAATAAACTAAAAATTTTTTAAATTATAAATATATTTTTTATATTACAAAATATATTTTTATAAAATTTTTTTCAAATTCCTTATTAAAAATATTTTTAAATAATTTATTATTCCATTTTAATTGTTAAAAATTCTAATTCATCATATTTGACACAAAATTTCGCAAATTATTATTATACTAATGTACTTTAGATATTAGAAACAAGCTTTATTAATATTATAAAGTATTTATTTACAAATTTTCACGATGATGAAAATTTTTTAATAAAAATATAAGCAAAAAATACATCTATAATTACTTTCGTCAGGATAAATATCTAATAAAAAATTTAATACTAATTTTAATATTTAATTTGAAAAAAATTTAATAAAAAATTATTATTCTCTCTAAATATATTTTTTATAATTATATATTCTTCTTAAATATATTTTTTGTTTAGCTTTAAGTGAGAATTATAGTGCTAAATATATTTTTTATATATATTAAATTTTTTGATTTTATTATATTTGAAATTCTCTTAATAAATATATAATATATAACAAAAATTATATATATATAATAAAATTTAATTAATAACCAATTTGAAAAGCTTTATTGAATAAATGATTATACTAAGCTTATTATAAATTAATAATAATATGAAATTTTATTACTAATATAAATTAATAATATAAATATTTATAAATTAAATTTTAATATATTATATAATATATAATTACATAATTATAATTCTAAATTTATTAAATATAATTATAAGAAATATATTAAAAAATTTACTATATAAAGATTTTTATTAAATATTTATCAGATTTAATTTTTTTGAAATTTTCAGAAAAAAATCTTGTTTTTTATATAATTATTAATAATTTGTAATTAAATAATAATTTTATGAAAAAATCAAATACAAATTATATAAAAATAATATTTAATTAATTATAATTTGTAATAATTTAAAAAATTACAAAAAAATTATAATTAATTATAATAAATTTAACTAGTTATAATTTTATTATTAATTTTATTTATAACTTATAAAAGAACTAATAGATATTTTATTATATTGAGTTATTATAGAACTAATTTCTCTTTTTCTTCTTAAGATAAGATTTTTAATTGGTTAATCATTTTTGATTATATAAAAGATAAGATTTTTGAAATTCTTCTCTCTCTCTCTCTCTGATAATTATATAATATTTAACAACTCTTTAATAATAGCTAATTAAAAAATAAAGTATAATTAATTATAATTTCTATTATTATTATAAATATAATATTATATTTTTATATATTTTAATAAATACAATTTAAAATAATGATTTTAATTATTATTTTAAATATTATAAATCTATTTTATTAATAAATAATTTTATAATTTAATATAAATATATTTATATAAAAGGTTTCCATTTTCTAATTAATATTTTGTTTTTATATTAAAATAAAGATAATATTAGATAATTTATAAATATTTTTTAGATTTAATTTGATCAAGTTATTCTAATTACATATAAAGTTAATTATTTTTTAATTATAAAAAAATAATTAACTTTATATGTAATTAAAATAACTTAATCAAATTAAATTTAAAAAATCTAAAAAAAATATATATTAAAATATATAATATTATTTTTATTTTAATATAAAGATAATAAATATTAATAAAATTAAATCTTTATATAAAGAGAAAAATCTGTATTTTATTGTATTTAATTAATAAATTTTGATATATTTTATTTTTATTATCACTATATAAATATAATTAAAATTAAATATTATAATTTATTAATAATTTATTTATTATTTATATTTCTCTTAATATTTTTATAATTATTATATTTTTTAAATCTTTATTATTGATTTCAAAAAATATATAATTTTAAAAAAAATAATATTTTAATTTTGTGAATTTTTAAAAAATTCAATAATATTTAAATTTATAAATATAATATCAGAAATCTATAATTATCAATCACGTAATAAAAAAATAAGATATCTTTAAAATTCTACTCTACTTTACACAGAGATAATTTCAAAAAATAAACTAATAACTTTGTAATTCGATATACACTCTATAAAGTTATCAG